ATAGACAATTATCAACTTGTTATTCATTATCTCGCAGTTATTTACGGTTAATTAGCTGTATATATCCCAAAACAGGTGCTCGGAGCTAGTACTAGTCTATGACTTTTAAGTAACAATTATATTTATATTCACAATCAGTGGCGGATCGAAGGGGGATGGGATCCGGGGGTTTGATTCCCCTTTTTGTGAACGATCATTGCATTTAATCAGAGACATATATGTCTCTGATTTAATGGAGACATATATGTCAGTGGCGGACCCAGAACTTTTTGTAAAGGGGGGGGGGGGGGGGGGGGCGCTGACTGATCTAAGGTGGCCCGCTCCAGTCATGCTTCAGTGATTCACTATATAATCAACCAAATTTTTCCCACCAAAGGGGGGGCCCAGCCCCCCCCCCCCCCTGGATCTGCCTATGTATTAAGACCCCCTTTATCCTGGCTAGAATCGCCCCTGATATTACATGTAAATCAAGTCCCGGGTTAATTACTGTTAGCATAATAGCATACCGGTAATCACAAAGAGTGTGGTAATTTTAAAAAGGGCGAGGATTTATAAATATACAATTCTTGAAGAGGGGGAGAGTGCACTTCACGATGATCGAAAAAAAAGTGCCTTGCATGTTATTTTCATCATCTTGTCTGAAACAGTCTGAATAATGAGCTTCAAGGCGAAGCGCGAAAATAAGTCATGTGAAATACTAACGTTGTACGGACAAACCCTTAAATCCCTCAATGTTATGTCAAATGAATTATAGCGAGGAAAAGTAAATTTAATTTAATATCAAAACTAAATATTTGTTATATTTCGCTCCTGATTTCTCAAGAAATCATAGAATCAATCAATGTATAAATTTCAATTATGCATGTCTGTGTGAGATCCATTTCATGAGACCAAGGATTTCTATAAAATCCTTGATGGGACCCTTTATATATATATGTCTCTGATACAGTTTTCTATTTTCCCCGGAAAAAATTAAAAAAATATATAATCTTTTGGGAAATAATCCGATTTTGTTGAAATATTTCCTTTCATAATTATGATAAATCCTTTTAGTTCTTCAATTTTAAATTAAAATAAATATTTCATTTTGATCTAACGACAAACTTTTTAAATTGTAGTGGCATGGTCAGTCAACTGATTAGTTGCATGGCTGATTACCAGTTTACTGGTGACCCAGTAATTTTCCATATGACAGTGGCGTGTACCCTTGGGGTGTGTATAACTTATTTTGAATACCTTAATTTTCTGGGGAACATCCTGTCCACGTGTAATACTTAGTATATATTGCAACAGATGACATTAAACAAATTTTCTTTGTAGCATCGGTGTCCATTTCATGTTCAACCACTCAAAATTTTCACAAAAAAGATAATATAATAAAATCATTAAAAAAAAAGATTAAAAAAACACTAGCAAATAAACTTCGCAATGAGTAAACGGGGATTTGTGTTTTAAAGGGCTTATTTCCAGTGAATATATTTTATACTAGATAACTAGACCTGAGATAACTTTTTTTTTGTAATATATATTTTATTATTTTCATATCATTCTCAAATCTTGATCATCTTAAATAAAGATGTATAAAAATAATTTTGTTATAACTCATAAATATATGGTTAATCATAATTGTTACAAATTATAAAATGGTAAGTCAATGCCCGATGTGCCGCCGTCTGTAGCAAAACAACGATTTTATCTTTTAAATGAAAGACGTGCACTGCCTTCATCGGAATAGAGGAAAGTCCACCTAGTGTACATTAAAGAGTATCCGTTTGTTATGCTGAAAAAAAAAGAGATCATCATAAACTTTTTAGCAGACCTTCTCGTGTAAAAAAACAAACTTTTAACTGAATTAAACAAAAAATTATCAAACAAAACTCATTAGAAAACTCATAGTAACATTTTGTTTAGACCTGAGATAACTTATAGTAAGATTATTTATATAGAACAATAAAAAAAAAATGTCCAATCTGATACACGTACCTATAATCTGGGACTATTATACTAACTATTTTTTTAGTATAATAGTCCCAGCTATAATATACAAAATTTTGAACAGCTTCAAATATATGGCCTTATCATTGGTAATGTATCATATTTGTATCAGTTATTGTTGAACGTGTAACCAAATTAAAATGAAGAAATAGGCTCGAAACCGCATTTTTTAAAGATATTTTTTTCAATCCCAAAATAGATAAGAGATATGCAGATTAATTAAAGTCCCGATGAGAAGATTCACTTTCTTTTCTACCGAAGTAAATATATTAACAAAGATTTAGGATATCAATAAATTATTAAATTCATCAATTTATTAAATTTGAACATGTGAACCAAACAACGAAAAAAAATAAACGGGAAATTGGCTATACCTTTTTGGTATTAGCCATGAAGCCATGTATGTACCAGCCATTTTAACTTATTGTTTTCTTAACCTTTAAAGAATACATTTTAAAATGAACTACTTTATTTATAGTAGTTCAAGAAAAAAATATATATATATTAAAAAGTTTTAAATTTTGTCCATGCTGTGCATAAAATAGGGAAAAAAAATAAGGCTGAAAATGCACCAAATATTTATATTCAATATGAATATTCACATTTTGTCTATTACAACAATTTTTGAACAACTTGTTGTTGTAATAGACAAAATGTGAGTATTCATATTGAATATAAATATTTGGTGCATTTTCAGTCTTATTTTTTTTCCTATATATATTATATGGCCTTCCAAATACCGTTTCGATCCCTATCATCACTGAAGAGACATTAAATGTCGAAATCCGGATATGGTGTACAAATTTTTGCACCTCATATTTGCGGTATACCATCTTTTCCGTAAGTTTATTGTTTTCTGTTTGGTATTTAATTAATATGTAAGATCCATTTTTTACATCTGGTGATCAATTTATTTGGTAATAGCCAATGGCAGCCGCAGGGTTTAAGAACATCAGTTGTTCGACCTGTTAGTCAAATGCGTTTTGTTAAAATATACTTTTTCACTTTTTGGTCTTTTGGAAAATGTTGTTTGTGCTGTATTTAGACCCCTCTACCAAGAAATTTGTTTTACATGCACACGTATAAAAATTGCGTTTTTTATCCAACGCAATCATAGGTCTGAACGTTGTTTTCAATTTAGACGTGTATATATATATATATACATATATATTAGATAACTCTTTCCTTTATATTCAATGGAACAAGAAACGAATTCGTTAGCGAACTAGAGTAACTATAGAAATAGCGTCGTTACAGGTCTTCTTCTGACTGGCAATAAATCCTTAGCAGTAATGATAGTGGAACGTCCATTGGGTTGTGCTCAGACACGTCCGAATGGGGACGCTGAATCCTTGCAGCAACTCTTCAAGTGGACTATAAGTAGCCTGGTATTAGGCCAATTTTCTGTCCATCCTTTTTCGTTGGCAGTCGAAATTTTCCGACCGTATCACGGGCGGTCTCAATTACAAGACCTACATGTACCTATCATATATTATTCGGTACGTCAGACACACCCGACATTAATCAACCAAAAACTCAATATTTTACAGTAGGGAATGAATATCTCCAGATGAAGATTACATTATGACGTATGGTTTTTTTTTAAAGACCAACAAATCGATTTTTATCACCAAATTTGTCTTTGCTGAGATTAACACTAAAAAAGTATAACAAAACGTAACGATTGAAAACTCACAGTTCAGTTTTCAAGATATTTTTTTCTTTGGAAACTAACAGACTAATTTTTAAAAAGTTTTTTTCTTGAACCATTATTTATGAAAACGAATTGTAAACAAAAGTTATTCTCAAATATTAATAATGATCAATGATTGTAAAGAAAAAAATCCATCATAGTAGTTTGTTAATTTACTGGCTCCATGGTGTTAAACATGTCACCTTTCTTTTACAAATAACTGATTAAAAATATGAAGCCTTTACTGTAAAATAAATCATTCTAATAAAAATAAATTCATCCAGATTTTTCTCTCATAACCTTTCAACAGTTATTGTAAACTAATTTATTCGAACTATAATAGTCCTATGACTTGCTGTCCGTTTACCAATATTTATACTTTATAAAATGTTTTCATATTCATTGATCATTAACTTCATGTTTTGCGAATACTTATAAGGGGGTAATTATTATAGTCAGTACTAGCTAACAATTTATCTAAAGAAAACGAGATGCTATATTCAAATTCTGAGATATGAATCTAGTTCTTTAAAAAAAAATTCTCCACAACAAAAATTCTACACTTTCATTTATCTGGGTCTTTTTGTCTCCGCTTCGAAGCCGCCATCCCGTACCAGACATATTTATTCGTTTGGCAATATACAATCATGTACGCAATATACAACAGACAGTAGATCTGAATTTGTAAATTGTTATTTTGGATTTTACCTGATTAGGACGTGTCTCGTTGAATTTTCTAATAAACTTACACACACATAATCTGACTTTTAATCGTAATGTTATGAGATCTATAAGAACATAGAGCTACTGTATAGGCCTAGTTGCATGCAAGTCTTTACAAATTATATATTTTGGTATGCTGTAGTTGTTTTTATAGACTATTTGTCATTTGGCCTTTTTTTGTTTGTTGTTTTTTTAGTTTTTGACATGGCGTTGACTCGAGTTTGATATATTATGCATCTTTTGTGCTGTATTTTAACAATTATTTACAAGTATGCTGCATGTTTACACATTCATCACTCACTATACCGCATCTAAATATAGCTTTATTGTAAAAAAAAGAAGGAGATGTAGTATGATTGGTGATGAGACAACTATCAACCAGAATTTAAAATACCTTATATAAGCAATTGTGACTTACTTTCTTTACTCAGAGTGATCGTAAATTAATCAGATAAGCTGGAGGAGGGGTGGGGGCTTCATATAGACTCATATTAAATGAAAAGAAATTAGCATTAGCTTTTTGTGATAAATATATAATAAACTCACAGTAACAGAAATAGCTCTTGAAAGCTCTGTCAGATCCCGGCAATTTTAACTGTTTTTTGACACGTGCTAAAAAATGCAGCACCTGGTTACAAGGGCTTATTTGACAAATTATCATCTTTCGTAATCTAAGTTATAAAATCTAAATTTTAAGTGATCTAAAATGTTCATGACTAACGAGTATTTTCACTTGTACGATTTTTCTGTGAAATGAGTCTAAGAGTATATACATGTATATCAGGATACTGACTGCATAGTAAAATATTTATGTACCATTAGTTGCGACTCATTTTGGTCTTTTAAGTAAGTTTCCTTCCCCTGCATTACTTGATCGCTTTTGTAAAAAATAAACAGCACAACAACAACAGCACTCGACGTCAGTATTGTACCAAAAAATGAAAAAAATATTCAAAAAGAAGGCTCATAAAATTCAAATATTGGTAAGCACACACACTAACTTGTCACTACAGACATGATCTTTTTGTTAATGCGCCAAACTCGTTTCGTCCACAGGACGATGTCGATGGTGGGGAAAACCTAGTCCAAATAATTATGACGTCTTGCAAGGCTATTTAGGCGTCCCAGAAAAAAAAATAGCCTTGCCAGACGTCATAATTATTTGGACTAGGGAAAAACTAACAAATCATTAGTTCCCAAAATGAGTATCCTAGTTTAAAGTTTTTTTTTAATATATACATGATTTAGCTATTTCATATTGGAATGGCACATATTCATGAAAAATCAACAAATGATCTGAAAGTCGGAAAGATGAATATAGTCCTCTGACTTCACAAACTTGGAAACAGTTGTGATGTTGCTTCGCTGAGCTATAGATAACCGTACGACCATCAACAATGAGCAAAATTCACACCATATAGACATAGGTGCTTGAGGACAGGAGTCGAGATTCACGTTGATAGTAAACATGCATATTAAGAGTAAAAATATGGTATATTAGTATGTATATGGTACAAATAAGTGATATGTATTGAAAAATCTAAGATTTATGATAATAAGGGGGAGGGACTAGGGGGGGGGGGGGGGGGGGGGTTATTTCTGATTTATATTTAAAAACAGGATCCTGTCCTCAAGCACCTATGCATATAGAAAGCTGTAAATATAATAAAAGGCCTCGAAATGACAAATGTAAAACAAATCAACAAGAAGCCTTACATTTATAATTGAATTTAAAATAGAATTGAAAATAGAAATGGGGAATGTGTCAGAGAGACAACAACCTGCCCAAAGAGCAGATGAGTCGGTCACCAATGTGACTTCAATGCAGCGAGAAAATCCCACAGCCTGAGGCGTGCTTCAGCTGGCTCCTTAACAAAAATGTATACTAGTTCAGTGATAATGGACGTCATACTAAACTCCGAAATATATAAAAGAAACTAAAATTAAAAATCATACAAAACTGACAAATGCCACATATAGGCTCCTGACTTGGGACAGGTGCAAAAATATGGTGGGGTTAAAAGCCTGTATACTGTAAATTTCAGAAATTGTTGCATGCATTTATTAATATTGCCAATTAACATAATCATGATAATTTCCCTTTCAATTTAAAAAAAAAATTCTGATTTAAGTTTTTATTGTATATTGAGACTTTGGATAGTCTCAAGAATGCTTTCACCAATTTTTATGAAACTTTGGTGAATTGATTTTAAATATTGACATAAACTCCCTTTACATTTTTATGACCCATAGTCATGTGATATTGGGTCAACCCTTGACCGTCTGTCCGTCTGTCCCAAAGTCATTGGTTTTTGTTCTCTAATTTAGTTTGCCTCAACCAAATGTTATAAAACTTTTACAAAAGCTTATTACCACAATACTCAGATCAAGTGTGAATTTTGGTGGTGTCAGTGTTACCGTTCTAGAGTTATGCCCCTTTACAAATGGAAAAATTGCTGAATTTTTGGTTTCCGGCTCTCTATCTTTAACTTTAGTTTGCCTCAACCAAATGTTATGAAACTTGCACACAATGCTTATTACCACAAAAACAGTTTGAATTTCGGTGGTGTCACTTTTACTGACTCAGTCTGTTCTAGAGTTATGTCCTTTACAGATGGAAAAAATGATTTTACGTTTCTGTCCTCTAAATTAAGTTTGCCTCAACCAAATTTTATTAAACTTTAACGCAATACTTTTTACCACAAAATCAGATGAAGTTATAATTTTAGTAGTATAAATTTTACCGTTCTTCAGTTATCTTCCTTTATAACTTTATATGATATGCAAGCCGGAGTATCATCCCCTATTTATTTTTATATAAGATGCAGAGTTATGGAATTTTAGTTGTTGGAAAATTGTTTAAAATTGTCCATTTTCACACTTTGGAAGGTTTCAGAATTGTATTTGTTCGAAAATCACGGCCTTAAACTTACAAAATGTATATACACTTGCAATATCCCTTAAAATGGAGCCAAATTATTTTCATGTTTTGTTTCAATGAATACCACTCTGTGTGCATGTCCTTTTTTAGCTCATCTGGCTCGAAAGGCCAAGTGAGCTTTTCTCATCACTTGGCGTCCGTCGTCGTCCGTTGCCGTTGTTAACTTTTTACATTTTGAACTTCTAGAGAACCACTGAATTCCTTATGAGGTGCTGACCAAGAGTTGTTACTTTGTTGTCGATCTATCATCCAAGATGGCCGGCAGCGGGGGACTTAGTTTAAGATAGGACCCTATAGGAAATACATACAAATGTCTTCTTTTAGAGAACCACTGAATGGAATGAAACCAAACATAGCATGAATGTTCCTTATGAGGTGTTGACCAAGTGTTGTTACTCTTTAGCTGATGCATCATCCAAGACGGCCGCCAGCGGAGTAGGACAATATTAAACCAAATATGGCCTCAATCATTATTAAAGTATCTGTTATGATTTTTATCTTTTTTATATGATTTCAAAAACCCAAATAGAGTCAGGTGAGCGACACAGGCTCTTTAGAGCCTGTAGTTTTGTTTTTTGAAGGTGGGGGGGGTCTTAGTTGTACAGTGCAAAGAGTTTTTCTATAATGTAGTTGATCATTAAAATTCATTTAAAGCATAAACCCAAGCTAAAAGGGCAACAAGCTTATCAAGCACTCATGGTACAGCTTTTTATTAAACACGTATTGATATATACATTAAACAGCAAAATAATTATTGATGCAAGATGTCATTAAATAATAATTTTTACTCTTTTTATGTGTAGGACAAGAACTATAGAAGATGCAGAGAAATTATAAACAGCAGAAATGATAGGCAATTTAAAATTTGCAGATGTCAACAAAACCTAAATGGTAAGTAAACTCATCATAGATACCAGGATTAAATTTTGTATTTACGCCAGACGCGCGTTTCGTCTACAAAACACTCATCAGTGATGCTCGATAAGACTCATAAGGCCACTTTTATAAAAGTTATTGCCCTTGAAAGATGATTATCATGATTATTATAAAAATAAAAAGATGTGGCATATTAAATATGAAAACTATTGATCATGGCTCTAAGAAAGCAATTATAGGCCAGTGACGGCCTTCAAAAATGAGAAAGTCCATACCCTATTGTCAAAGTAGTCAGCTATAAAAGGCCCTCAGACGAAAAATTGAAATAATCCCAACTGTAGAACTAATTGCCTAGTTTATAACAAAACAAATTAAAAAAAAATAAATATGACAGATATGAAACAACTACAACCACTAAATTTGAGTGTCAGAATAAACTACAGGCTCCGAACTTGGAACAGGCACAATCAGAATATGGCAAGGTTATATAAAAATAAGAAGATGTGGCATGATTGCCAATAAGACAACTCTTCACCAGACAACAAATGACATACCGGTAGATTTCCTGCAAAAAAATAAACAGTCCGAACTAAGCAGGAAATGTATACCTTTTTCTTAATCGAAAAGACACAAAGATCTGTTAGTACTCACAGCTACTGACAGCTAGTTAAAAATCAATAAAAACTAATACATGTAATAAAAAAATCAGGTTTGTGAGCACTCAACCCTACCTTAACCTTGGACAGTGATTTAACAGCTCAACATATAAAGAACAAACTGTAAAAATAACCGTTGCAATTGCCTCAACTCGAAAGATTGATAAAATGCACAAAATCAACTACCGGGGTAATATAAAAACCCATAGACAAAAAGCACGGAATTAAGAGAACTCACAAGTCATGCAAGTAAGAAAGGAAATATTCTTAAAATGTTCATAAACATGACAAAATAAGCTTTTTTATTGCTGTTTCTCTCTCCATTTATAACATTTTATTTGTTTATTTTGTGTATTTATAGGTGATCAGACATCTTGGTTTTCATGATCAATAGGTCAATACTGAAGAGGAAACTGAAAGTTGATATCTATCTACATGGTGCGCTAATTGGATTAATGTGAAATGGAATGTGTGCTTTCCTGCAAAAAAGAAATAGGAAATTTCATCATAATCACATGATAATGGCTATAAACAAAATGGAGTTCTATCATAGATGCAGAAAAACACAATTGTATAAATGCAACAACATATTATATATATTCGTCGAAAGAAGGGAGAAATGAAGAAAAAAATAGTATTTTGTTGTTGAAAGGAACACCAGCTTTATCCACTCATTTACATCGCTCCCTCATATCAAATATACTGAAGAAGATCTTCGAAGAACAAATTGCAAAAATGTTTTCTCTAAGAATTGAAGGAAATTGTTTAGTGAATGGAATAATTTATGTTATGAACTTTTACGTAGTGAATTGAATAACTGTACACAGCAGCTGAAACAGAGGAAAATTAAAATTTACAAGAAAAGTGTTTATTTTATTATTTAATTTGCAAATATGAACGCATTCTTAAGAACTCCACAAATGGTATGACATTCAAATTGGTTGCTTATTAATGTATACAATTGAAACAATAACAAAGAAAACAGAATACTTTGCTACAAAAAATATTTAAAAAATCAAAGTTAAAGTCATATAAAGTATGTACAATACCTTGACCTAAACAGTCAGACTCACTATATTATCAAAAATTTATTAAAGTTTAAATATCATTTGTATCATTTATTAAGTCTTGTAAACATTATGTTCATACTGTTTGTATAGTGAAGAAATTTACAATGAGTAAAAATAGGGGAAAGCATTTCCTACAGGGAAAGTTGATGTACAGAAATTTCCTTAGAGGAAATTTGGAGAACAATGTTTTCCTTAGAGGAAATTTGTGGTATTGAATTTTCCCTCAAGGAAAAGTGTTTGTTAAATATTTCCTCAAAGGAAATTGAAGTTGAAAAAATTTCCTCACAGGAAAAAGTATTTCCTCCAAGGAAAATTTGAAGCTGCAAATTTCCTCAGAGGAAAATTTGAAGCCTCAAATTTCCTCAGAGGAAATAAAATTTCCTCAAAGGAAAATTTGAAGCCGCAAATTTCCTCACAGGAAATAGAATTTCCTCAAAGGAAATATTAATGCAGCAAATTCCCTAAGGGAAATCTTTTTCCCTTGAGGAAAATACAATTTCCCTTAAGGAAAAATCTTTTTCCTTTAGGGAAATTTGATTTCCCTTGAGGAAAACTACTTTTCCTCTGAGGAAATTGTTGAAAAAAGGGGCATAACTTTTTCAACAGTGGTGCTAGAGCCAAATTTTTTTAGGACAAATATCAGGAAACCAATACCAACCAAGTTATTTACTTCATTTTGACTTAACTCCAAAAATTAAGGTGACAACTTTTGCACTCAGCGGAAGTGCAAACTTGTCCCGGAGACTGTTATATGTCCGGACCATTGAGAGTACGTTTATTTTTAGTCGGGATTTTCCATCTGACCTATGACGCAATTGGGGTTACACTCAGAATTTATGATGGTAACGTATTTATAGCTATAAAATCATTAAAATGAAATTTGTGACCTCCTATTAGTTGTTTATCAATAAAATGTAAATACTCTAAGTTAGTTCACTTCAAGGTAAATCGAATATTTTCCCTGGAAATATCTTTTGAATTTAGATTCCGATAGCATTCCCGTTAAACAAATTAATACAGAACAATCCTTAATCGAACACACCTTAATTCTAAAAAAAAAACATATATAGGGATTTCTTTATCAATACATTTTATAATAAATGATAAATGCTTTTGTTTTTAAATCATATGGAAGCGATAATTTTATCTGAATTTGCAACCTTTATAAAGAGACAGATTCTGACAAATTCTGCTTTCGATATTTCTGAAATTATTAGAAACATATCCTTCTGAATATTTTCCCGCATCAAATAATATAATAAAAAGATAGATAAACTATATATAAAAAAAAGACAGAAAAAAATTATAATTGGGCGTTCATCTGCAACGTATATTGAAAAATAATTCTCATAATCAAAACTATGAAAGATAACTCCAATCGTACGTATGATAGGTATGGGATACGTGTTTAAATTTTACGTGATCTTATGTCAGTAGAATAAAGGCGGGAATCTGGAAAACCACGTTATAGATAAAAATGCAATATTTCTATCATTTTTCGTCAAGATAAAAATTTATGGTAGAAAATTCCAGTGTGTGATTTTTAAAGTCTTGAAATACTTTGTTTAAACTTAAAAGTCGTATTTAATCATATTCGATGGTTGAAAATAACCCGTCCAATTAGGTCCGTACGTCGAGTTACGTACGTATGTCATTTTATTTGTAAACAAAGGCATGTTCTAATTAGCCGAAACTACATGTATGTTTGAAACATGCGCACAACTTAATGTTTACATTCTCGTTATTTTCATTTTATTCTAATATAAAAAAAGATATATTATATATTAGCTGCTTACATAAGCTTTATTAATTATTTTTATTCAAACAACAATTTTAAATTACCTGGCTGGTATTAATTTTCAAACTTATTAAATATTAAAATGTAATGTACATACTTCATGGGAAGGAAATGGGAACAACCAACTATTTCTAAGGTATTTTCGTACGCTTCGACCTATAAATATACTGTATTTGTCCTATTAGAATCGAAATAATTCCTTCATGTCATGATCTATTTTAATTTTGACATGGGCAGGCATTATATTTGACCATATTTTAGACCTCGCTATAACGCTCAGAATAGGATATCAAAAAATATAATGCATTCCCATGTTAAAATGAGCATAGGGCATGACATGAAGGAATTATTTCTTATTAGTTTTCAAATGGTCGATGACGAAAGCTAGAGGTAGGATTAAGAATTGAAACAATACAGTCATGGTAAGGTTTAAAACTCATAATTTTGAAGACTATTGTAACTTTGAAACTAATGTATTAAATAAGAGTATTATTGTACTAATTGAATCCATGATATATAACGTTTGATAAATTTAAAAACAAATTGAGAAAAAAAGGCATCTACGTATGCTCAAGGTAATGAAATAATAAGAACATATATTAAGTTATTTAAATATGATCAGTGTACTGCACCTTAAGTTACTTGAAATGTAAGATACATGTAACGATACTTTTAAAATGGGGAACAATGAATTAAATTGTTCTGATCGTACAACTCATCTAGGGCTCACAAGATCAGCAAAAGATGAAACCAGAATAATTGTAGAAGATCACATCAGTTTAGCAAGAAGAACGTTGTATTCTCTTCTAAAGACGGGTCTTCTTGGCTCAAATGTTTTAATCCCTAAATCATCATATATGATCTATCAAGCATACGTCCTGCCAAGACTGCTATACAGGATTGGAACTCTGCATGTGAACTCTAAAGAAATGACGCTTCTATCAAGCTTCCACCTCGATATTACAAAGAACTTAGACACATATTGTTTCATGAAGCTGCAAATTTTAATGTGGATTTTAATGTTTTATCAAATAATGAGAAGTTGATTTTCTTAGTTAATAACAATAAAGTAAAGTGTTTCCAGCACCTGCTATAATATTTTTTTACATCATTAATTATGCTGTATTTTAATGACATTCTTAAATAGATATACATAAATATATATACATTAATTTTGTAATATGTACATTATCTAACTGTATTTTAATATTGCTTGTGCAGTCTTAAGTGAAAGTGAAAGTGAAAGTTCTTATTATAGCTTGCTGAGTGGTATGGGATTAGGTCGTCATTGAATGTCGTACGGTAATTAAATTCAATTCAAATCAATTCAATGGTTTATTAAAGTCTCATATCTCAACAAGTAAAATCGATATTCATAAATTGAAATACCACATTAAACAATATTAAATGCATGTAAAGTACTTTGACAACATATAAAACTTCTATATCTTCACAAAGTTAGATAGCATGGTCCGAGAACACAGTTATTTCGTATTGCATTTCTTTTAGACAATAAATGAAAATTAAAAAAATCCCGCTCTCAATAATATACAGTGTGTTGTACGTCTTTTGGGACAAATTATATCAAAATTATAGAAAACTTCATCAGCTCTAACTTGAAACATGGACACTTTTATGTTAAGGGGGTCTTGAAATCTTTTGACAGCTTCCGAAATGCTAATTTTTAAGAAAACCTTTTTCAGCTGGACCAAATCACTACTTTACTTTAAAATTCATGACCCACAACTTTTTACAGTATAATTGTATCCCCCTACTTGCTATCTGAGACATAAAACATGAAGAAATTTGGAAGGGGTATATTTGGAAATTGGCAAGTAACACACTGTCCACACTAGGGACTGTATTCGTAGGACTACGAAATTCAAAAGACGATAACTGTGTTCCCGGACCACATGTTTTGGCCCAAACACACTTATCATACTTACATCTGAGAATAAAAACACTAACTTTTGGACCGCGCTGAAGTACGTCTATTATTCATTTTTTTCGTTATTCAAAATTCAATAATGAATAATGAAATAGTTCATTATTCACTATTCAATTTTTAGTAGTAAATAATGAATAATGAAATAGCTTATATTTCAGTATTCAAGTTGAACAGTTAATTAATAATGAAATAGAAAAAATAATTTTTTGACTGTAACACTATAACACGTATTTCTGAATTCGTAAATTTTGTGTTTTTTAACAAGCATTCAAATTAATATAAAAAAACAAAATTAAACGACTCGTTTTTTTATTTATTTATATAGTTTCGGATGATAACTAGTGTGTTTTTCTAACTATTTTAGCAGAAATTCCTTGATTTAATGTATGGATGACCTGAATACCAAAACATATATGAAAATTAAAATACTATACACTGTCTATTTTTTTTAAAAATTTTACTGGACCTTTGCTATTTTTCATCCCCTGATTATAGACATAACTTGTCAATTGTGCCGCAATGCAATTATAGGGGTTACGAAGGACCTAAATGCAAAAATACGCGTGAAAATCAAGAAATACTAGTAGCCAAATTTGAATAATGAAATGGATATTCTGAATATTATGGAATGGACTGCTGCGACCCTTCATCCCCTAATTACAGATATACCTTATACGTCATTCGAAAGCTTTTAATAAACAATAGAGGAACACAAGATAAATGTTTCTTGTTTTATATAGATAAAATCGTTGGTTTTCTCGTTGGAATGGTTTT